ACCCCTCTGACCACGCCATAAATACCTTAAAACCCTATTTCAAAATTTTATCGTCTACGTAACGTCTGAATCCACTCCACAACAACACCCATTACGTAATTCCATGTTTTTTCCTTCTTTTCATCTTTGAAATCCGTTTGGATGTTTTCGAAGGCACCTGTGTGCCAGGCCACATCACCAGAGTTTAACACATGCGTCAGTCTCTCGATCATGATTAGTGAATACCATATATGCTGTAAAGTGAGTTCCAAAGTCTCTTTGGGAAGGCAACGACTCGGCGCAGATATGGCTGTGTGGACCTCGAGATAGTGGCATAGCCTGCGTAAACAATTTTGAGTTCCATCTCACTCGGTCGAGTGAATTTTCTCAGCGTTCGTCCTCGTTTTTTTTCGCGTCGGGTAATGATAAGCCGCTTGCCTCATTCCTCATGTTTTGCAGTCTCGATGATGTGGTCATACCTGTGAAACTTCTTTTCAGGAGAGTTTTTGCGTATTTTTTGCTGTTTCATTCTCTCGAGAGACTGGAGGCGGTAATGACGTGACCTTTCTGTGGTTGACACCTTTTTATCGGTTTTAGTTGAACATCGGAGCTTTCGTTTATGCACCATTTGACCCTAGGTTCTGAATATTTTGCAATCGTTTTGGTATTCGCACTTTAAAGGTTGAAATTTTAGTCGCCGGCTCGAAAACATTTTAGGGATACGAGATATAATGATTATATGATATAATTTTAGTCACTAAGGGGTACTTTATTAATTATTTTGAGATGAAAATTATAAGTTTCGGAGGTTGTTCACAAGGTCCTTGAGACATGAGTAGATGAATTTTAGAACAGGAAGTCATTAATTTAGGGATGAGATTTTTTTTGGGAACTCGCATGCTATGAAGTCAGGGATCAAGATGTTCTCAAATTAGCTGGAAGTATAAGTTTATTCAAGTATAATGATGCTAGGTTTGTGCAAAATTACTGACAATTAGAACTTTTTCGATTTTTTTCACATATTTTCCTGAATTCTTCTAATTTCTGTTAATATATTTTCCTGAATTTTTCTAATTTTTACCAGTTTTCATAGAGTAGTTGGAAATTTCAAGTTTCCATAGATTTTTCTATCGAATTGTGAATTTTCAATGACAAAATTCCTCAAGATTTCAGTAGAAATGTCACTTGATAAAAATTTGCCGGAAGTCCACTGGAGAGTTGACCCAACAATTTTGAACTGCGTATTTTTTTTTGGAATTTCCAATCACAACCGCAGAAATATAACACAGTTGAGGAAATCACAGTATAACTTATTAAAAATCCAGTGAGTCCCTAAAATTTTTATTTTCAATCAATTAAAAAGTCAAGAATATATTCCCCTGAAGTTTCCTCATTTTTTATCAATTCCCACAGAACAGTTGAATAAAAATCGACCGTTTTACTGGAATCATCACTCGGAAAAAATTTCCCAAAAGTAACGAACTATTCGAGATCCCCCTGTCCCATCCAAATGACTCATTTCGCCACTCGCCCAATTTTTCCACATCATCAGCCCCCCCCCCNCCTGGGAAGACGCTCCCGCCGCTGGAAACCCATTAAACCCCCCGAACGTGAAACCCTGGCTAGAACGAGACAGTAGTCTGACCTAGAGACTCTCCTAGTTTATGGGAATCGCACACGGGCGCTCGCTAATGCCATCTCATAAACCAACTTGAAGCGGTCCAGGCGAAATAGGGGCGAGCGAGTTGCCCCTAGAGTGCCCAAGCCAGAAAGCGACAGAATCATCGTGCCCTCTCTGATGCGTCATATACCGGGTATAGGAGCCCGGGAGCGAGTCTGCTCCGAGTAAAATTCCTCGACGAGCTCCCCCCCCCGGCCCCTCCTTCCCCCCCTTTAACTCCTCTCTATTCCATTCGCTTCGTGGCTCGCCTCAGAATCAGTACTATACGTGAATAAAGAGGTGGTCCAGGGGGGGGGGAGACGAGAAACAGTGTCCATGGTTCATGACTTGCTCGCCAGTCCACCAGCCACCGTGGCACTTTACTCTCCCTCACCCCCCTCCCACCCGTCGTTATTCCCCTCATTCTCCCACCACTTGTCCCCCTACTCTGAACCCTAGACCTCCCCTACCGCGGGAGAAGGCTCAGGCGACGCTTGCGTGAGTCGCACTGGCAATATGGCAAAGGGCGTTCACGGTATGTGCGCGCAGGAAAGACAAGTCTCCCAAAAAAAATTAAAAAAAAAAAAAAAAAAAGAAACTGCTCCTTCACCGTACACCGAGAGAAAAAAGACTCCGACAACAGAACAGAATGAAATAGGATAGACACGAACACTCCATGCCGTAAATTTAATCTAGGAATTCCTTTTTTCCATCTCAATTGTTAATTTCCTCCCGAAGAACAACTCCACCGGAGTATAATCAAGCATTGGTCGGCATGAGAGGAGATGCAATGAATAAACATGACACTATTAACGTGTATTTTTCACATTACATGGACTTTTAGCACAGAAACCCATTGTTTTCGTTATTTATTAAATTGATAACATTATCATGTCTCAAGGTTGCGTGAATTTGTACTTGATATCGAGAGAGGAAAAACACTGGGGGATAAGATAGCATGAACGAGACAATCAGGAGGGGCACAAATGTCGATTATTAGTATTTTCATTTCTCTCGCTTCACACAATGGCGGCCATTTTGTGGTGAACCTTGTGGTCAGCTTGTTGGTTGCTCCCTTCAATTGTCCACTGATTCTGACGGATTTCCATTATTTCCGCGTCAATTCTGGGTTGACAATTCAAATTCGCTGGATTAAACTCGAGAAAATTCCCCCAGGAGCCGGGAATATCATGAAAATGTCTCTTCTTTACCGACGCAGAGCGGAGCCTTGACTCCATTCAGCGAGATAAATCATGAACATACGTTAAACAAAAATAACCAATGATAATTCACGCACGAAATGCCCAACACTCTGTGAAATAACGTTAAAGCCAAGAATCCAATTGTAGTAATTGATCACGACTCCGAGAATAAAAAGAAAAATGGCGTTAAACTAACTGCGTAGAATGGAATACGGGGGGGGGTCTGGTATGTCGTAGGTGCCCCGCCCTACTCCAAAAAAGTCGATAACTCCGTTGCAAGCGGCATGTGCAAAATATATTTACAACTAAAATGAATAAACGGAGAGTAATTCGTCAAAATAACAGAACAGACAGTTAATAAAGTTCGTCTTTATCTCTCCGATAATAATCTTGCGCTTTGTAAAAACTTCCATCCACTTTTATCGGTAAAATCCAGTGTTCGTGTGAGAGCACCCATATTGCTTCATACTCCAGGCAAGATAGTCGATAAAAAACTGATAAAAATCAGGGCGATAGAGTCCAGTGGTGATTTTATACTGAAATAAACCCAAGTGTGATTAATTTCTTGGGGGGGAATTGAAAAAAATCAATTAATGATTGACGTGGAGATTGCGGTGCGTTGTTACTCGCGCGAAGTGATACGGGCGACTCCCAGAGAAACTTTGACTCGCAGCGGGTCTCTCCGCGCCTGCGCACTATCGACCCTCCGCTCCACTGCGTTCCGCGTTCCCCCAACGGGGAATCCCCCCACTTCTTCTCTGCGTTACCCAATGGCCGCTACCACCTCTCCCTCTCTTTTTTCTCCCTCACTCGCTCTCGCTCCCTCTCATATCGGTGTTACGTGCATTTTTATTCTCAACAAGAATACCCATTCCCTATCCCCCTTTTTTTAAGGTGGAGAGCCATCATCATTTTCTGTTTGAGAATCCATTTCTCCTGTATGCGTTATTCGCTGGACTGGAGGTATTGAAGTCCAAAAACTCCTCTCACTTACACCCACACTGAGTCAACCGTCATGGCCTCTCGGCGCAAAAACATCGCGTGGACGTGCCCCCAGGGAGGGGAGGACTGCCTTTTATATCTGCGTAAATGCGAACGCAGACGAGAAAGTTTCGATCGCCTTCGTATATACGGTTTTTATGATTGCCACCCCCTCTGGAGGGTAGGGTTTTTTAGGAGGGGGGAGGGGGGGGAGGGCTTTTTTTCCTTGATTTAATTTAGCAGGCTTGTGTCCGGTATTATGGAAAGCCCGGATGGCATACCAAGCCTGTCTTGGAATCAGGGAATTGGCGTTTTTTTCAGTTTTATTTCCCTTTTCCGGGAAAAGATCGTTGAACAAAGCCGTATATATACATGGGGGAAAACCTTTAAAGCCGGGTTGCCATGCAGCCAATGAATCCTGGAGTTTCTTTTTTTTTTACGGTGGAGGTTTTTGTGGACGTTCGTTTCATTACGGCTTGCGGCTTGCGTTTTTCTGGGACTAGGCTCTGCCTAGCAACAGAAGGGAACAAGGTCGTTTCTAGGGATTGGAATGGAGTTGAGGGAATTGGTGGAGTTGGGAAGTTAATGTTGGATTTTGAAGGAATTGGATGGAGTTTGGTGACGATATGATTTGTGGGGGTGAATGCAGACAAAATTTCGCTCGGGTTGAGGCGACTTCGACGTTGAAAGAAGGTAGGATTGGGAGAGTGTGGTATTTTCTCATTATGAAAGGCAAGAAAAAAATTCTTGCACGAATTCTTAGGGAAAAATTCCAACATAATGAGTTGTACAGGAGAATTAACATCCATGAACTTTTTTCGATCGAAAATATTTGTTGAAAAACGTACGGGAGAGTTGCGTAATTTTTAATAGAATTGGCGCAGAAAACAAATCGAATTTTTTAATAGATTTGAACAGATGAACAAAAACAATAACAAAATAAAACTGTAGTTTTTATTTATTTATTTGTTCATTTACTTATTCATTTGTTCATGTATTTATTTATTCGTTCATTTATCTATTTAAGCATTTCAAATTAATTATATTACTCTGCTGAATAGAATTCTAGTAAAACTCTAATAGAATTTTATAGAATTCTTTTTTTTATTATTGGGAGTACTGATGAGAATAATCAATCTTATCAATCAATTAATTCTTGTATCATTGATCTCCACCAGGTATGGACGCGTGCAGAGCGTCAAGTTGTTGCCACGGGGCGAGGAATGCCCCGTGGACGGTGGTTCCGGTGGTACAATCGGCGAGGGAAACGAGGGTGGCCCTGGCGGTGGCTCAGGTAGCACAGGCAGCACCACATCCAGCACCGGGGCTTCCGCGACGGTTGCGTTCATGGATATCAAATCCGCAGCGAAGGCACACGCGACTGAACACACGCTGGACGAGAGAGCCCTCACAACCCAGTACTACGAGCCACAGCATCTTCAGCACAGGTTTCCCACACACGGGTGAGTTTTAATATCACAAATTGGAAAAAATTCAGTGGTCAAACAGACCACTGTCCCCCTTTTCCCAAATATCTCAAAATCCCGCGGAGATACGAAATTCTTCGTTGAGACCTTTTTTCCAGCTCTCATTTCGCTCTGCAAAAAAGGTCTCAACGAAAATTTCACCGTCTCCCCTCGCATCCGAGATATTTGACAAAAACGAAGGAAAATCACTGCTGAATTGTTCGCTCCAACGTTTTCCCTGCGAGACAAAAGTTTCGTTCTCTAATACAGAATGGGAATTAATTGAATTTCCCATTGACAACAATACAGAATCGTCAGAAAGCGTTATCGAAGTGCCGGAGGGAGCGAGTCACCTCTGGCACGTCAGGGATTTTTATTTTTACAGCGAAACTCACGTACAGTCCACACACATCCCTCTCTCACTCCCACACTTCTTCATCTCCACTTCCACTTGTCTTCCCTCTGTGCAACTTGTTATTCTTTTTTTCTCTTATTCCGTATTTCTGTTCCACGTCCCCCTGTGTCCCAATGTATTTGCTCTCTTCCGCCGAACCGAGAGGACGTCGCACCTGGAATTTAAAGTGAGAGAATTCACGCCAATACGAAGACGTTGAAAGTGTCACCATCGATATTGCTTCTGGTTTTTTTCATTTTTTTTTTTTTTTTTTTTTTTTTTTTCGTGATTTTTAACTCGATGGTTTAAAGTGCTGGTGGTGTTTGAATGGTAAACAGTGCTGGGGAAATTATTATTTCTGGATATATGTGCATCATGTGGATAACATCAATATCATCGCTCAAATGGATACAGTGTTGGAATGCAGTGAATTGGATTATATAAACAAACAATGGTTGGAGTTTAAACTAAACAGGAGTGAATTTACGACTGGATTCTCGGCCTCGAGGTAAGTCAATTCCCCCCCCCCCCC